CCAGTGCTAGTGGTGCTGATAAGAGCAGACAGCTCTCCTAATCATAGGGTCGAAAAAAAAACAGCGCCAGACCTGCTCCCAGCCTTCTCCGAACCTGCTCCGAGTTCGCTGAGCATGCTCTTGATGCGCGCCAGAGACCTCCTCTGGACCTGGTCAGAAAATCTGCTCCAGAAACCAAGTCCAGTCCGTCTCTAGACCTGGTCCCACCCTGCCCCGAACTTCACCAGAGCCTGTGGCTTGCGACCTGCCAGCGACTACGACCTGTGCAACAGAAAAAAGGAGCGATATTTCCGTCCCCCTTCCAACCCTTATGCCTCCCTCCCACCATTCTCCTCTTCCCCCCCCCCATCCCCCCCCGCACACACTTCCTCAAGCGCGTCTCACATGTCACTTTGGGCCAGGAGCACGAGGCAGTTCTACGGTCCAGCCCCTCGTATCTACACTCTTCCCTGTCTGCAGATCAGTGAGTGCTTTGTACAGCTCCGATGCCACCTTCCCCACTTCACCGTCGTTGTATGAAAATCTGCACACACATCGACAAACCGGAACAGCATCCCAACATCACAGAGTGTTCACATAGTCCCTAAACTGTCCCACCACTTTTTTTTTTTTTTTTTTTTTAAACCACCACTACCTTTTACAGGCAAATGCAAAGTCCATCTAGTAGCCTACTCCTGAAAACACGGGGCTCATTGGAGGGCGACGAAATAAAAATTAAAAAAAGAAGAAAAAAAAGAAAACAAGAAAGAGCAAGGACGTCGGGGAAGGCCCTCACGAGTGTGGCATGTAACCGGTGCTTTGAGGAATGTATCTGGCTACTATGTGGGGAACTGTTGCTTTTTTGTTTCTTTTTGTTTTTGTTTTCATGGCGTTGTAGTGCCCTGCCAGCCAGGCAGGGCGAATTTCACGGGGTGGCTCGTAACTGTCTCAGAGCTGTAGCATCCTGTATCCGCCCTGAATCACAGCACAAGGGAGCTTTTTTTTCTTTTTTTTTTCTGTTGTTTGTCAGCTACATGCCCTCACTGAGGGCACAGTCGCGCGGGTGCCTTATAGAATGTATCTGGAGGTTATCGAGGCTTTTGGGAAGTTTCTTTTTTTTTTTTTTTTTTTTTT